AAAAAAAAAAAACAAATAAAAACTGGAAAAAGAAAAGCAAAATCAAGCTAAAAAACCAGAGAAAATCACAAGGTACAGGGCGAGACCGGTGAATAAGCAGAAGGCTCCACTGGCTAATCCTCGTGACGGAATCAATCTCCAAGTCAACGCATCTAATACTCTAGCGCAGGCCGCCGGAGACGTCGAGCTAGTGCCGAAAGCCGTCGAATGCTTTTCGAGCGCAACGTGGTGGGGAACGGGGTGCGTGGGAGCCACTTTCGTCGCTGGACATTGAGCTGATGGTGGAGAGCCCACTGGCGGCGTGCCACGGGAGGAGGGCAAGGAGGCGACGCGGTGAGGGTTAGGGTTTATGTGGCCGCTGGGAAAGAGCACAAATGTTTGGTATTCATTCCCTAATTAAACTGGATTATAGTTAGATAAACAGGCAAGATTTTATTTTCAAATTTCAGAAAAATTCAAATTCAAACTGATTTAAAAGAGTGGGATATTTCCAATTTTTTATTTTTTTTTTTTAAAAAATACTTAATTTAGATAGTTTTTCTACATGTTATCTCTACGGAAAATATGGAATGACTGTTACGATGATATATAGATTAGGATGATTCTTTTTTTTTATTATTATTTTAAACGTGCAAATAAAATTCTTAGACTGGAATTAAAGAAAATAAATCTATCAAATCTTTACCAAATGAGATTCCCTAACTTTTACAAAATTGGTTTTCGAATTTAATGGAAGTTTGTTACGAAAATTAAGGAATGTAATTGGAATGATTTAAAACTTAAAGAAAAAGAATATCAAACTTTATCTCTTTTACGGATTTTTAAAATACTTTCCACAAATGGAAAGTCAAAATATTTTTTTAAAAGTTTCCTTAAATGATTTTTTTACCTTTCTCTTTCAATTATTATAGATTTGATTAATTCTTCAAATAAAATAAAAATTATTTAATTGACTATGACATGGAGTTTGACACTTGTCGCCATTTTATTTACTCAAAATTTAATTGTCTACAACAATGTCCAATACTAGTATGTCAAAAAACAGCAAAATAATAATTTGATGCAAAAGTAAAAACTGTAAGGCCACTAGACACTGAATTGAATAAAGTATAAATAGTATCACTTCCATGTAAACACAAAGGTAATTGGAAAAAAATATATATATAATAAAGATAATATATAAAAGTATT